ATTGCACCTGCCCGGAGTTCGAATCCCAACACCACGGGCTACCCAACGTTTCCACTTCGCGGTGTCCACAGTTGGAGACTTAGTGGTTGCAGCCTACTTCCGTCCGGAAATGTCATAACAGATACGGACTGCGCTGGTTAAAATACAATAAAGATTCCTATTTGGGGTGAACATACAATTTTTGTTTGTCCACAGCATGCAGTTTCACTATTTTTCTTTTTTGGGAGTATATGAATGTAGGTCACAAACGCATCATTTACCGGTGCTAGTATGAATCCATGAAGGATCTCCTAACGGAAGCCTCACCCGAGCACTATTTCCATGCATCTGCGCCGCATCACGATTTGCACACCTTGTTGCTGCTTCGAACGCCGTACAACTTCTGTGAATAGAGTACGCTAGGGCATGTATGATCCAGACATTCGTCTGAAGTGCCCTCAATCACTTTAGCCGGTGCGTTGAAAGTACGCTCCCCAAGGAATGTCTACTTGCTCCTAACACACTCAAACACACTCTCTGACCTCCTCGTTTCACCTGGGATTCTGCGCAGTCAGTGTCTGAAGTAATTATTCGTTCAGCATAATCTACTCGTAGAACAACACGGCACGTACCATTGAGCCGTACCCACATCGGTTGTGCTAAAGTCATATGCAACATCGACCCCAGAGTTGTTGTGGATGAGAAGATGGCAGTCCTGTTTTGATCATGCTATGAGTGGCTGATGATGTGTTTCAAATAACATAAGCCTGTTTACTGAACACATTCTCGTGCGCCATAGCCTTTCTTAGCACGTGTATGAAAAAAAGCTTTCTTTTCTTCAATCCTTTGCAAAATTGTTGAACTCCGTGGTGGTTTTCAAACACAGTTGAAGACAAAATTTTCGACTGGCAAAGGTCCTCAGTTTTATACATTCAATTGCACCACTCTAGACTGAACCCAATGGTCATACTTAATTGCCAACGTTCTCTCAAAGCTAAGTTAGCGTTTGCTAGTCTGAGGCATCTCGGGCGCCAACACGACATATCCCTTTCACTGAAAGGACGTGTGCATTGCGCAATGGTACGCACCATTTTACTCTATGGCTGAGAAACCTGGCCTCTTCGAGCAGATCATGTTCAGCGGCAATCCGTATTCGACAACCGTTGTCTGCGCAGCATCGCCCGCGTATAGTGGGAGCATCGCGTGAATAACGATGGGGTCAGACGATGTGTGTTAGGATCAGATGGTCTTCTATTGAGCAAAATAATTTTACTGCATCGTCTAAGGTGGCTAGGGCACGTCCTACGAATGAATGAGCACCGTCTGCCACACCATGCACCATTCGCAGGCATCGTTTCAGGCTGGAAGAATACGGAATACGCCGTTAACGTATAGAATCCGTGGTTGAACCGCAACAAGAAGGCTCTAGAATGTCGACAAAGGTTGGCAACAAAAGTGGTGAAGACATACTCCGGAAGACTACAAATATTGGGGCTTTACTCGTCTCAATACCGTTGGCTCCGGGGCATCTAATATTGACATACCATATATTGCATCAACCCAAGCACCCCTGCCGTTGTGTGTTCACTTTATCTCAAAGTAATCATCTCAGGCGTCATCCATTGAAGTTGAGGACCCATAAAAGTCACCTAGATTGCCAGTATCACTCGTTTGCAGTCAGCGTGTGCGGTGTATAGAGTACTCTTCCACCCAGTGTTGTATGTGCCCCTACAGTTGAATTATTCAAATCGCAGTTTGATGAAGCATGGAGACGCATTGCATTTCAAAATCTGTTTTTTAGTCATGCATATTATTATTATTATTTTCCATATGTGAAGTTGTTCAAACCATTCTTTAGAGATACTATGGAATGATTGTAACTCGTGATGCGGATGTTGTTGTTGGTGCGTTCTGCTAGCCGGAAGTGTTGTTCGCGAACAACAGAGAACAAACGGGTTAGGATACAAGTCAGTGAGACGAGAGTCAAGTCAAGCATTTACCTTATGCACCCCGAAAGGTGGATATTCAGCAGGCACGTAGTTAAGAAACACAATATATATATATATATATATATATATATATAAACCTGTTTTAGCCCAGGTGATGGGACGGTATGTGGCCGCTGGTGCATCCCTCAGCTACTTGGAGGTACAGGTTAGATTTGAGTACCTGATAGAGACCGAAGAGGAGGAGGATGCAGCCAATGGAATATGACAGTTTACTCACTGGGAAGTGCTACTCCTGTCAGATACCCCATACACCCCCATTACGCTATAAATGCTCTGGGACAGCCTTTAAGTGTGATGGCAAGATTTTGAGGTCTTATTCCTATTGATTTTATTTGCTTACATCACTGAACCGTTTTACTTTCCGGCCCACGATGATCCAAATCTGTGTTGTTAACTTCTGTTTTTTGTCAAACTATTTTTTTCTTCGATTAGTTTTTTCTCTTTCTCCGCCATCTTTGTCGGCGGTGCCATTCTCCTTTAAACGAGTGACTTCCAATTTTACAACTGACTCGAGTATTACTTCAGTACCCTCTTTATCACTTTAAATTTCAGCAATGCTGACAGACGTTATGAACAGCCTAATCGTGGACCGGGATTTAGCTGTAAAAAGAAAACAAGATTTGGCTGAGTCGGAAACGCCCGAACATTCCGAGGAAGTTATCATCCCACCTTTACGCTCCCGTCGCGTTGTGGCTGCTAAGCTTCTCGAGTTAGGCTTCGTCGACGATCGCAAAGCTCTAGGACGAAATCCAAGGAATCGCAACCACCGTCTGAATGCGGCACGTCGTGGGGCCTTGAATATCGACTTGGATACTTCTGGTGCGGGTAAACCACCGCCACGAAAACGTCGAAGGCGCAAACACAGTGATTCCAATTCTGATGAACTGCATTTCCCCGAAGATGACGTTAATGCGGACGGAAACTCAGAGGAGACAGAGGAGGAAGAACAAGAATCAGAACGGGACGAGAATGAGGCTGAAAAGAATCCACGAATCTATGAGGTAATTTCTTAACCACATTACATTTCTAGTTGTTTCTTACGGCAACACACTTCCTCATGTTCTGCAACCCCGTGAGCAAAGAATCTCGGAGTTGGGTAAACGGCGTTACTGAGTACCTGCGTATCCATCCGTGCATTCATATTTGTCTCCAAGGCATTCTAATTACCGATACATGACACAAACAGATCTGGTTTTTTGGGCTATGTCGGGTTTGGTTTTTACACATTCTATGAATGTCTGTTGATAAGAGTTTGTCTTTTCTTGAAAGAAAATAAAGCTGCATCAGAGATCGCTCGTTGCCTTGTACAATTCACATGCCTATTGCCCTCTGAACTGATTCACCAACATGACTGCGTTGTTCACCTGACAAATGTATTTAATTTTCTGAGTCACAAATAGTGTTACATCTCACTTTTAATGTGCAACCTATCGTCTCATTTTTTATTTCTTTATGTTTTTATCCATCGCAATCACCGTTGTCTTTTTCCTAATTTTTGGTTACGTTTCACCAACAGACCGCCGATTCGTCGGACTCTTCTGGAGAGGACAGTTCAGTGAATCTTCCTATTCGACCTTTGGCCTTGGAATCCGACCTCCCTCTGAGACGCCGAGTACGCCTGTCCGATAGTGAATCGAATTCGGACATCGAACGTCCCTTACAGATCGTTGCGAACAATGCTAACGGGCATTCTGATTTGGATGAACATGGTTCCACCATAACCGATAGTAACAGGTTTGTTTGCGGTGTTCTGCTTAGCTCATTACCGAATACTTTTAGTCAATGACCTGATGTTTCTGCCTTCCTACTCCATCCTCCCTTCAAATTCTAATCTGTGTTCGTCTGAATCGAGTTTATCAGTTCAAATCAGTGCAGTGAAATACGGTAGAACAAATTGCACTGATCACTGCTAAGTTCACGATACACACTGGGGCATTGAGAGTATGTGATGTAAACGTGGATTGAGCCTATTTTAAGATGGGGGAAAGGCAAAGAAAAAGAAACTTTGGTAACCATATAGAGTGGTGGCTCGGTGGTAACGTCACCAAATTATCACTCAGACGTGCGTTCAAATTCCATCCACTGCCTGACTTTCCCCATCGTGTATTATAGCGCAACCCTTCGATTGTCCGCTTCCCCCGTCCTGAAAGCTATATCACTGTGTATTCAATAAAAGGAAGTAAAAATGAAAAGGAAAGTGTACAGTCTAACTGTATATACACACTTTTTCAAAGATTATGGTCTCATAAGAAACGGCAACAAGAATGCCACTCCTGTTCTTTACTTCAATGTCTCAAACGGACCAGTGAAAGAGCTTTTCGTATCCCAACTTTCCTCATGTTTGGTCTGTGTCGTTTATTAACCTTTGCATGACTTACTCCAACATGGAGCAACAAAAGTGGATAAGGTGCGGTGCGGCACACAATAATGGGGTCTCTGCAACACGTGTCCTAACCATTAAAGCCTACTAATCTGAATTTTACGTGAAAACCAATTTTCCACTGGATCATTACCAAATACGTAATGGCTTACTTCAGTGTTGCTTAAACGCTCGCTCCGTCCAACCCGCGCCAAACTACGTCAGCATTGATAGTCACAGACCTCTAAGTGATGAATATCTTCACGCGCAAATTTAGAGTCTCGCAATCGTACTGCAAAACTGACCGTACAGTGGCGCAGTATACGTGACCTTTCAGTTTCAAGGAAATATCACGTTTGCACCAAATCTGTTTCT